ACGTATAATTATTGGTGTTTCTTTATAAAGGTTTGAAGGAATGTCAAACTAATTTATTATATATTAGTAGTATACGTACTGTCTCACATAACCTTATTAGATTAAGTATTATGGTTTTTTATTATCCAGTCAATTTTATAATTAATTTTTTGCACCATAATTTCATAATTTTTTACAGGAGGGTCTCCAAATTTCCGAATCGGAAAGCATCGGAGTCGTTATTAGCTAGCCATACTAATTAACAATGTCAATAGCAAAATTATCAGACAGCATTTTTACTTAGCGAGTGGGTTATAACTTCAATTTAATGATTTTAGATAAAATTAGTTAATTCCGACCAACCGACCAGGATCCTGATGTCTTACGATCTGGAAATTTGTGGACCCTCCTGAACGAGTTCATAAACATAAAATTCAAATATGTATTCAGACTTAGCAGGAAATGACGATTCGGACTAACATTTTTTCCTAGCAGAAACTTCATATAATGTTACAATAAAGCTAGTAATTATAAGATATTTGTATAAAATTATTATCAACAAAAATTATGAAATATACAGTAATTTGGCACAAACGGGCAAATGATTGGATGAGATTATTATGATAAAAAAAATGAATAATATAAAAAATTACTTCATGTTTCAGGAGGCAAAATACATAATAGATTTCGGAGCCTATGATTTTCCTAATAATGCTGTATTTAAACAAAAAGCAAGTTTTCGTTTTAAAAACATTATTATTCAAAATCGTCAAAGGAATCATAACAATTCTATAAAAATGTTAGCCTCAGAAATAAAATATATGAAAACATATTGGATAATCATATAAATACGTCATGCAAAAGATCGCACAAGGATTCTTCTTATCCTATTATTTTGGCATCCTTCAAAGTTGTTATCATAATTATTGGCCAACATTTGATTATTATTATATACAGTTCCATAATTGATTGCATTTCCAAAATTAGGATTATGTGACGACAAATGACATTGCTGATTTAAATATTCAGCATTGGGTGACAACTTGTCTAATGAATGACTATGATTATGTTCAAGTTTACAATTATGTAATCCAAAATTACAAATTTCGTTCCATTTTGATTTTTGAACATAATTGGATACATCTACATTTTGTTCAGTTAATGCCTGTAATGAAGATGACAATGTAGATGAAAATGGAATCTGAAATATATTAGGCAATATAATATTGGGCTGTTGTTCATGTGGCGATCCCGGTGCACTTTCTGCAGGTGTGATGGGATATACTCCAAAATTGTCATTTATATTTTCTATGGTCTTTGGATCTAAAAGTTTTAAGGTATCGCGAAATCTTACAACTTTTCTTCTATTACTCGCTATTCTAAATGCTTCCGGATTTGACATATCAGTTCCTGAAATAGCTTGTATATGCGTTAGTAAAAGACTACTCCAACGCTTAAATTTGTTTTCAGCCACGAAAAGGTTATAATCAATAAGCTTGAGAAAACAGATTTCGTTCGTATTGATTTCATTGACCGGAAGACCTGACATTTTAGACCAGGCACGATTAGAATAGTTCCGATCTTGGAGGTATTTTGAAGCGACGATCAAAGCTGCTAAAAACATGCGCCGACCACATGTTGCCGGATCATTGTTTTGACTTGAATTTTGTTTCACACTTGGTGGGTTTTCGGATACTGGTGTTGACAAGTATTCAGTACACCGAGATAAATTAGCTATTTCGGATTTTATTCGGATTAAATAAAATAATGCGGTCTGAAGCGTTGAATAAGAGGTACGCGAACGTCTCAAAGTTTCCTGAATGAATACACGTAGACTAATAATTTTTGCGCTTGGACTAACTGAGAAATTGGCCCAAATTACCTCCACAATAAGACAAGCCGTGTCTAACATTGGATTATTTTTTATGAGATTTTATATAAATTTTTTTTTTTTTTGATTTATTAAGATTCGATAACTCACCGACTAAGTTTTCAACGAATGCTGCCTTTCTACCTTTTTCTCTTATCAAGGTTGGGATTATATTGAGAATAGAGAATTCTTGATTATCGTTTTTTGGAGCATCAGGGTGATTAGTAACCGGTAAAAGATCTCGAACGATTTTGTTATTGGTTACATTGACAGAAACAGGAATCATATTCTTAAAATTTTGATATTGATTATTTATCACACATGGGTTCTGGTCAATTCTTCTTGAAAAGTAATCATTATTATTGGTCATTGTTTGTTGTTGTGAAGTCGAATGAAATGTATGAAATGTAGTGGGACTATATACAGAAGATATCGGAACAGCGGAATTGGGAAAATGCCGTAATGTCTTATCTGTAATTCCATATCGAGTAGGATCGGAGTAAGACTCCGTAGAACAATAACATGTTTTATTTGGCATAGCTTTTAAAGACCTGCACAAACTCCCGCAAAACTCTCGACCAAAATGTGAAGGTGGACGATGAGTGGGAAACGAGGCCACAGATTTTTGAGAAAAAATCTTTTCTTGTGGCTTTACTTGAGGATTCGCTAAATTTAAATTATCCTCTACATATTGAATTGGTTGTGACTGGCTATTAAAACTGTCCTTGTTTAATTTCCTACGCTTTTGAACAAATTGATGATAATTATTATAATTTTCCAAATGATGTTTTGTTGGATGCTGCGTGGTCAATCCCACGCAGTCACATTTCTCGCTCATTAATAGATTACTCATATTTTGTAATCACCTTGTCAAAAACAATCAAGAATTATCTATATTTAATACAATAAAAAGGACATCTCAATATTGATGATTATATTGATGATTATCTTTAAGAATTAAATTTAAGGAAGTGAATTAGATATGCGCAGTAAAAATTTAATGTAGAATGTTCACCGCAGTTTACTTTTGTTACAGTATATCGATATCTGATATTGTAAACACTTTGAAGATTTTAAAATTCCGATAAATTTGAAATGCGAGTACACCAGCGAAGTTATTGGGTTATCGGCGGCGTCATTTTGATGTGTGGAAATTTTTTACAGCGTGTATTCTTCATTTATATATAAAATTAATTATTAAATAAAAACATAGAATATCGTTAAAAGTAACACTGTACAACCAACGGAGTGATGCGCATTCCGTGTAGAACTGTTGACCTGATAATCTTTGCCAGCCACAGGTATAATGTATGTATAAATTTATTCATCTTGTGCTCCCATCCTATGGTGTAATTCATATATTGTACATATTGTTACCACGTTTTTCCACTATTACATATATGATTAAGTTAAACTTACAATATACTCAATGAGAAGATTGTAAGACTATTGTAATCTAGCTTATTATAGAATATTCGCGTAATACATGTTTCTTTTCACGTGACACGAATACCATTACGGCTGAACGCATCCGCAGCATATTACTATTTTTAGTTGCCCCGAACTTCTGCGCATTTTATCGTTTGTAACACACATCCTAATCTGGAAATTACAAAAAACTACTCTAATCACGTGTTAGTATTATATAATAACTTTTCTTATTGGTCTATAAATTCTTGCATATGTCCATACGAACTGTCTGGTTATGTACGTACGTACGTATGTATATATCAGATATCAGATATGTGCGGATTGTGAACGGATGTATGTACGTACGTACGTATTGTATTATTTGTTTCGATTGGATTGATGCATCTCCTAAACTAGGAAGTTTGCATAGTATGTTATCATAAAGCATTTTATTTAATCAAATGGTTAATATAGCAATGCTTAAACTCTTAAATAGGTTTAAAATTGATATTATATACCCATGCATATTGTCAATTTCATTATACGTACGTATTGTAAGTTAAAAAATATATATAACAAGTTCTATATAACTACAGTATATATTTTAAAACTTAAGTGATCTTGCCCTTTCTTTTAATAAGAGATCAATTTAAAAAAAATTGTAGACATTTACAATATCAAAGCTTTTGTAATTTTTTTTTTTTTTTTTTACAAGTCTAGACTTACTTAACTACTTTAAAAGTGTCTAAGTATAATCTGCTACAATAGCACTTTTTCTCTATTAGAACTTCTAATAGGAGAGAAAGTGCTATTGTAGCAGATTATACTTAGACAAAAATAAAGTCACGTAAAAACATAGACACTTTTAAAGTAGCTAAGTAAGTCTAGACTAGGCCGATGATTTTCTGCGTTTGCAGAAAATCGCGGAATGGACTTATAAAAATGGTGATTGTTTTTAAATTTTTGGATCTGCAACAACATCGTAATCCCAGCTAATATTAATTTTTAAATTTTTGGTCGGAGTTTTCGGATCATAATACCGGCTGACTCTATATAATTTTGGCCAAATCGCAGAATCCACATTTATCATTAACGGAATTAGCATTTGCCCTGGTCTAGATTTGTAAGAAAAATATTTAGTGATACAGGCCGACCCGGAAAATATCGGCTGGGAATCTTCAGAATATAGATAATAATACGAATCTCATATTAGGGTCAGAGAATAACTCTCATTGATGTCTAAAGAGTGAAAAAGGTTAAGTTTCTTTCAGAATTATTCAAAATCATTCCCGTATCACTATTCGCCTAATTAAATTCGATGAATTTTTTTTATTTAGATTCTGTCGATTCATATAAAAAAAATTATCGAATTTGGTTTAGTTGAGAAACCTTCGATTAAATTTTAAAAAAATGCAAATGAGTATAAAGTCACGTGATGTGGCACAAAAGGCTAGGGCACGAAAATAATTTCGGTTTATATATTGTTCTTAACACGAAGTGCATATTATCCGAATTTAAGTTTAAAATATATGTTACTGAAAATGAATTGATTTGTTGAATATACACCATCCGTTGATACAATGTATATATCTTCAAAAGGGCATTTTTAAAATTTCGGAATAAATGCATCTATTCTTTATTTTTTATTACGTGGAAGTTTGGTTTGGATAGAACCTATATTATTCTGACAACTTTTTCTTTTTTCTATTTCCCAAACCCGGATGACTGGATTCCATCCAATTTTTTACCTGTTTTGTTATTGAAGTACAAGTATATAATTGGTCCTTCATTTTTGAACCACAATCCAAATAATTCTAATGAACCAAAACATTCCATTATAATTTCTTCCTAAAGGATTCTGTCCGTACACATATGTAAAATGCCGGTAAAACTTATTCAGGAAAAAAAAGGAATTTCTCAAGATGTTACCGGATATCCCTACATAAATTAGTCATTTACTTAGAGTACTAACGTAACAAATAAACAATATTTTATACTTGATGACTAAAACCACACTTCGATCTTCCAATTAAGATCTCGGGCCCGATTTATCGCAGGAATATAATCAATATCACCAGCAATTATAAGAGCTATGCTAGGATCCTTCAAATAAACGGTATCCACTATACGAAATCCAAGTTCTATATCGACTTTCTTTATTTGCAATACGATTACATCAAAACCTTGATTTTGAATCCTATCCCATATAGTAGTGAATCGTTCGGAGGTGACGAGAGCCAACAATCACCGGATCACTACCTATTTTTCGTCCGTTCTGTATTGTTGATAGAAGACATCCATGATCGACATAGAGCTAAATGTACTTGCTTTTTCAATAAGTTGGAATTGTCCACAAAAACATATTCAAGCTCAGTATTTGATTTTGTGTTTTTTGCTATATGGAGGAGAAATTTAATAACGACTTATATAATTATGATGCAAAGAAAATCTCTATTAATTACATTTTTTGAGTTCCGAAATGAAATTTGCAAGTCTTGTTGCTGGTTTTCCTCTCAAATCATAACTTCGAAATTTTTCTTCGGTGATTTTAATGAAGTCTTGATCGGTAACTTCCTTTTTACGTAATGTGACTGTGTGAGCTTTAAATCTTTGTTTCGCAAATATTCGATTAGCTCCTCGGTGTCATAATTTTTAACTATATTTTCCATCTCATGAATTTGTTCTGCTTCAGAGGAGACACTTGGGGGTGAGGGTAATGCGGAATATTTTTTAAGTTTGCCTTTATTTATAATCAAAGAACCTGTAGAACCTATAAAGTGACTAGGTTTATAAGTCTAGTATGCGGAATCTATCTTATCATAACAGGTCTTTTACTACTGTGCCTAGATTATCAACAAAGTACTGCGGAACCTGCTGTTGTTTCGGACACCAGGGATACGAAAAAGTATAGATTTGAATCGATTATATATAAAACGAAATTCGATAATTCTGACCATGTAATAGATTTAATAACTCTTTTAGTAAAAATAATACAACTCACCGAAGTCATTGGAGCTTACCTATACTTCATTTATCGAGTTGAAAAATTAATTATATTGAATCTTCTCTATATCGAGAGTTGTATTTCATTCTTACTTTAAGCAGTATCTCAAGATCTTTGGTATTCTTATATTACTCCGGAGGTGTGGTATAGTAAATAAACCACTCTACAAATCTTGTGCATAAGAATTTCCAAATGATTTTGCCAATCTTTTGAATATGCCTATTTTAGATTGTGTCACATTACTTCTTATTTTGCATCCTAATTCTGTAATTGGTCGATATCGGATCTAAATAGGTATACTGTAAATCAAATATTTTAAATCCTAAACCAAGTAGACTTAACATAATTATGTTATTTCCACTAGAGGCATTTTAGTCTCAAGTATATAAAGCAATAAAAGAATATTATCAACATTTCTCCTTTATTCATCAGTTGTTTCATCGATAGTAATACAAATTTTTCTAATTCGATACTGTATTATATACAAGAGGAAGATATCATTGTTGTCGAAGCAGATAAGCACCTACAACTGAACTGCCTCAAATAAATTATTAACATTAATAATATATTTATAAATGTACCTTTCTTTGTACAGTATTTTTTCAAAAATAGGTTAATTATTCAATTTTTTTTTTCAATTTTTTCTAGAGGAATATTAGCTTTTGCATAGCTTT